GAGTTTTTGTGAGTTGAATTTGCTTTGCTATACAATCAGCTGAGTTTCAGAGAAGGCTCAAGCAAGGGAAGGTCAGGGACAGAGCTTGATGAAGAGAAGTGGAAGAAAATGAAACATGTTTCTCCAGTGGCAGCAGCAAGCTATTCATGAAATAGCACTGTTGAAGACAGCTTACTTTTCTCTGGGAGATTTCGTCTCTGTATGGATGGAGAGGAGCTTTTGCCTTGGAAGAGTACCTGGCCTGGAGCTTGTTACAAGGGTGTTTTGCAGTGCACCTGAGACACCACTGTGTGATGCCTAATGCTGCTGGTATCCCGGCTGTATGATTTATCAAAATACTGAGGAAACGTTCAGAAATGCTGGGAAGCTAGATGCTTCTAGTTAGTTTTCTGGAAATTCTTCTTGCTTCAAATCTTGACTGAAGTTTTTACTTTACCATACTGTAAATTAAATTTCTGGTTTCCCTCAAGTTTTGAGTTTCTTCCTCTATTTCTAAATGATTAGAAATACATTGGTGGTCTGATATTTTGGATCACTAGAGGCCTGTCTGTAAGAAGGAGTTAGTTAATAGCTCAGGTGTTGCCTCTAAGTGAGACTGGTCTATGCATGCAAATCATTATCTCACATGAGGTGATGGGGCCTTTAGCTCTGGCTAGTTGTGGCTAAAGCCTTTAGCGAAAATTTAACAGTTGTTAATGTGACCTTGTAGCTATATAGATAAAAGTTTATTCTGTTGAAGTGCTGCTGATCCTACAAGTGTAGTTTGGGAATCCCCTGTGTTCTGGAAGAAGATACAGAAGTTGGCTCACAATTTGGAAGCAGATTTGTAAGTCATCCTATGCTTTTTACAGTGCAGAGAACAGGATGCACCTATAGAAGTTTACTGTTGCTCCTGTGTGTGTTGTAGGTAAACCAAGTTAACTGTACTGAGAGAAAGTAAAGCTTGGGGTCAGGAGGAGGGAAGGTGACTCGCAGTACTGATACCTAGCCTGCATCTTTACATATGAGGAACTTCCACTGGCTATTACACTGTTGTCCTGTAGCCCTGTGGAAGGAACTAGGAGTTGCATACACTAAAGTGCAACTCCTGAGTTTCTAGGTATTTTAATTTCTTATATTTTACTTAGATTTGTTGTGCAAGTTTAGTTTGAGGGTCACTTTATAGGGTTGTGAGGCTTTTGTGTAGGCTAAAACTGTGTGACGCTTTATCTCTACCTATCAGCGTGTTGCCAGCAGATAGTATGTAATACATAGTACGTCATCTCATCTCACAGTTCAGTTTGTGATAGCAAGAACTTTGAAGGCAACCTGTGTCCTCTACCTGTGCCTCAAGCCCATATGTTGAAGGAATAAGTCTTCTTAAAATAGAGTTTTCTGGAAAAATGAGTATTAGTATTTTGCAGGAAACTAACATTTTCCAAAAATGGTAAATTGTTTTGGGGGAGGGCAAGCTTCTTGAATACCTATTTTTTTCCTTTTTTTTTTTTTTTTTTCCTGACATGGCTTATCTGTTTAATAGCTTGGACTTCACAAGTATTTTCTGTTACTTCTCTAGTTAACAAGCTGAAAACCCTTTGTTTCTCTGAAATGATTGCCTTTCTCTTAGCCAGAAGAGGTTGTTACAAGAACTTACATAACATGTTGAGTGTACTGCATCGTAGGTATTGGTTTGGTTTGGATTTTTTTATAAATAAAATTTTGTATTGCATCTTATAGTTTCTTTTCATTTGTAAGCTGTTTATATGCCTTACTTTAAATATTCAGAAATCAAGTCTGGAATATACTTTTAAAATACTTTTCAATAATGTTGATTCTAAGATTTTGTGGGAAATAGTAAAGTGCAATTAGGTCATATTTTTGAGATCGACACATGGTTTCTTGAAGAAAGCTAGAGTAAAAAGCTGTTTGCTGACTGCTACTTAAGAAACTTCCTCCTCAGGGTTGTGGTGTGTCTGTGTTCCCATTACTGTGTGCTGGGAACAAAAACCGGAACCACACCCCATTGTATTACTCTAAATTCACTTGTTTCTCCCCATGTTGATCTTGTCAATGTAAGCAGCTGGTTGCTGGAATGTACACAATGGACCGCTGGGTTTCCTTGACCAGTCCAGGAAGAATTATCCTTTAGCTAATGAGAGAAGGTTAATAGTGTTGTCTTCTGAATGAATCAGTGAGGTACTTGAAAGCTTTGTTTATGTTAAATTTATCAGAACACTTAACACTGCAAGTTAAGCTTGTGTTTAACAAGCTTCTTGTGTACAACTGAAAACGGAGACCATTGTAGATACTAGCGAAAAGCATCGAAGAGTGAAAGTGCGAAGATGGCAAGTGTGATGCCCAAAACAGCAATAAGCTATTCCCCCCGCCTAATTCAGTGAACTTTCAATGTAGTGGTACATTGTTAGCATGTCCATAGCATCAATTCTTGCTCTGTCACTTGGAGAGTATAACTTCATACTTCTATGTGTTGTGAGGTATTAGTTACACTCTGTCCGGAACTCGGTGGTCTTGTACATGTGATGGAGCCCAAGTGTTTATATAGATCCCTTCTGCCTCAGTAGAACTTTGGTGCGTGCTTACGTGAATCAAAGCCTACATTACTGAGTATTGATTATTGCTATATTGTAGTTGTTGATGATGTGCCCAATGAAATATTAAATGCACATTTCTACTAAAAGAGCAGAAGAAGGGGAGGTTGCCTTGCAAAACAAAGGGCTTCTCTGCAACCTTAGTACTGCAGATGTTTGTCCATATAGTTCTGAAAACAGGGCAGCAGCAGTAGCAATCTCCCTGCCCTGAGCTTACTACAAAGACAGATGACTATGACTAGGTGTTTACTTTCAGGCTATGGATCTTCTATCATTGGTTCCTTTTATTATTATTGCTACATGTTGTTGTAAGCCATAGCTTCAGCTTTCATTGTCAGTATGACCTTTTTCTCATTCTTTTCTATTCCCTGCTCTTCTACTCTCTAAACTAAGGAGGGTGTTTTTAAGTAGAAGGCTGTCCATGTGCCAGGCAGTTACTGGAAGTCATTTTGTATTTTGATCCTACCCATTTCCAGCAGCTCTTTTAAGACAGGTCTTAAACTTTTGACAGCTGCAAGAAAGTTTTTTGGAAGTAGTATACTTGTAACTGGCACTACAACCCAAGAGGCGCTCGTTGCTTGACAGTACAAAAGTAGTAAACATAATGTGAGGTTATAGTAACTTTGAAAGATGAAGGTGTCACTGGAGAACTCTTTCATATTGGTTACAATCTGTGGCTCAAAGAAAATGAAAATTTCATCTTGGTGCCATGACAGAAAATGCAAAGTATACTGACCTTCCCAAAGCTTCACATCTTGTGCTGTTCAGTAGGGGCTTTTCCTTGACAGTTTAGGCCTGTGAAGTGTGCTTTAACGTTTTACAGAGAACAGAAGAGTGCAAGAACTGATATGGCTTAGGCAGTACCAGACAGAGTGCATAAAACGCTGTGCTATGTGATGTGGAATGCTTGCCTCAAACTTCGTTAAATGCAGACTGAACTTGCCATTATGTATGAATTGCATTTGCTAATAACCTCAGAATGTTGTTACTGAGGCCTCATCTTGCCCATATCCATTTTCTCCATCCATGGAGAGCCTAATTTTAAGAAACCAGGAAGATATTTTATTACTGTCCATAGAACAGTTTCTCTTTAAGAGCTTTCTTTGAAGTCCTCAATCAGGAAGCTGTTAACACATAACATCTCAACTGTTGATTAGTTGTGTAAATGTCTCTTTGTATGCTGGCTTAGCAGTATCTAGTGAAAAGGCAAACAAAAATATTACCTATACCATATAAATGCAATGAAAGGAAAGTCTGAATGATGTGACAGCAAAGCCAACTCAACTCTAAGCTTTTTAAACTGTGGTCAAAAAGGAGCTTAAGGAGCTTTGATTTGTGCACATATATAGGGAATAGTTCAGTACTGTTATAAACTCCAGTTTTGTTTATAAAGCTGTTCTGTGTTTTCTAAAATCTTTTTCTGAAAGATCAGGGGTTACACTTGTCAATTGTTGCTCAATTGTAAATTACACATCTCTGACCCTAACCCTCACCTGTCAGATCGACTTTTTGCGTTAATTGTGTTTGTCTTAATCTTTCCCTAAAATTACTCCAAGTAAGCTGAAAACTTGGCCTTAAATTTACTTTTAAGGAGGTGAAGAGAATTGGTTAATGAAAATGTGATTCACCATAGAAACAGATCAGCCAATAGCATGTATGCAGTAAATTAACCATTTTCTGGTACTTTCATATTTGATACGAAACATAGCAACAAGATGATAGCTTGACAACAATAGCAGCTGCACATATCTTTCTTCTTTCAAAAAAGAATATTCTTGCGGAAAAAATAGATTCCCTGGAAAGTAATTTATATTACAAGTTTCATCACAAAAATTCTGTGGGTGGGTACAATAGGCTAGAAATTAAATTAGTGATTTGTTTAATAAATGATGGTTTTGATTTGATATGACACTCTTAGTCTTTTACAAGTGACATAGCTACAGGCAATAGAATAATCTCTTCCCCTTGTGAAGATAAATGTCATATCAGACCAAACCATCTTATATTAAATTTCAACTTCCCTTTTTTGCTGTATGAAAAGATTCATGAGACTTTTCATTAAATAATAGCACAACCCAATTAAAAGGGTACTTTGGCCAAAAATGTCTTGAAGATGTTTTCTAATATCAGGCATGTAGTTAATTTATAGAGGGTACTGCCATAAGAGGCCTGATATGAATAAAGGAATTTTCCTTTATGCAGCAAGTGGCGTGGTTGTGGCCACACTGAGCTAGAAGGTGCTTTTCTTATCTCAGTTAGACTGAAACCCTCCAATGCAAATGAATTATGATGATAAGAGGAATCTAGGATCTTGACTTCCTTTCTTGGGGGGGAAAGGGGATATAGTATGTGTGGCTCTTACACAACTTGATTGTGCTCATACCATTGTTTTTCATGTTTTGGCAGAGAGAAGGAGCAAGAAAGGGAAGAACAGTTAATGGAAGACAAGAAAAGGAAGAAAGAGGATAAGAAAAAGAAGGAATCTGCTCAGAAGGTAGGTTTTGATATTTGAATTCTTTTATCCAGCTGGAACATAAATAGTATTGGGGGTAGTAAGATGTTAAATTATTTGTATTTGAGCTTAAAAACTTGATTATTTAGAGTGATGCTTCATTAAAGACTATTTTTTGCATCATATTTCTGGAACTTAAGTGTTTAACATAGGTCTTCTCCTTAGTGTGTCATGTGAAGTAAAAGATGTTTTTTTGATATGAAGCATTGAATATAAGCTCTCTTGATCTATGCAACTCCTGCTGTTTTGAGGTGTTTGGGGACAGAAGTGCGGCCGGGCTTTTGCAATTCTTGCAGTAAAATTGACTAAATGTTTTCTAGAGCAAGATGATACTTTTTTTTGTTGTTTTTCAGTAAGTCGTTATGGAAGGAAATTTATATGAAATATTTACTACTGAAGGTTCACTTTAGGTTTTGCTGAGTGTCATGTAGATTTTACAGTTTCTGTAGCTAATAGCACTTTTGCTGAAGTGTATCAGTTTGAGTCCGAGCCGTGCAGAACTGATCACTGAAAATTGGTTTTGCTCAGAAAATGGGTTTGAAAGCTTGGTCTATTAGAAACTCTATTTTGCTGAAAATCTAGTAGATTATTCTAGAAGTTAACTTGACATACAAACTTGAGTCTCTTGCAGCTTTATCCGTGCTTTTTAATGGTAAAATCCTTTCTGTCTATTTCTGGGCTTCCCAGTACAAGACAGATGTAACCACCCTGGAGCAGGTCCAGTAAAAGGCCCCAAAGATGATTAAGGGACTGGAGTATCTGACAGATGAGGAGAGGCTGAGAGAGCTAGGACTGTTGAGCCTGGAGAAGGGAAGTCTTGGGGGTTCTTATCAATCAATGTATTTAAATACCTTGTGGGAGTTAGTAAAGAAGATGGAGGCAGGCTCTTCTCAGTGATGCCCAATGTCAAGGCAAAAGGCAAAATGCACAAATTGAAATATAGGGAATTCCACTTAATCATAAAAAGACTCTTTTTGCACATCTGCGTGTGACTGGGCAACCACTGAAACAGGTTTCCCAGAGAGGTTCTGGTGCTTGCATCTTTGGAAATGCTCAAAAACGAGTAGGACGTGGCCCTGTGCAATCTGTTTTTGATGACTTTGCTTTGATTTGGGGAGACTCCTGGGGTTGGAAACTGTGGACTAGATCTCCAGAGGCTGTGCCTTCCAAACTCAATGATTATGTGGAATTGAGAGCAGAGGGTTTTACTTTCAGTAGTCTGTTTTTCACTTGCTTCAGTAACAACAGATCCTATGAAAAATCAGACATTACTCTGTTAATTCTGTATGTGTTTGCTGAGAACAGCCAACAACATTTTCAGCTAAATTTTGGCTTATCCAGGATCATTTTAAGTCTGGCATTTTCACCAATTTGAGTCTTATCAGTTTAAATTAGGCGTGGATAAACGGGTATATTTCTGTTGTTTTTATCCAGCCGTTGTGTCGATACATCTGTAATAATGCTGCAAAAGATCAGCAGCTACGAAATAAGATTTCTTCAGTGTCTTTTTGCCTCAGTGCTGCTGCTGCTGAATGTTCAAGTACAAAAAGTACATGTAGGAAGCGAGAGGAGCAGACCCTGGTAAATAGGGACTTCAGGATTATATGCTGATACTCAGTGAAACTTGATAGGGTTGCGCCGATCATCTTGATGACAGTGCTGTGTTTACTGAGGAATCGGTGCTTTGAATACAAAGGAGATTTGCCAGCTTTCCTGTGTGGTCCCTTCACCTACTAAGTTATTCCACATGATTGAATGTTATGATATTTTGCCAAAATCTTGGAAAGGGTATAAATTAATCTCCTAGACACCAAATTTAGCAGTAGTACTTGGAGATACGTATGAATAGCAAAGCAGACAACCAAATGGACAGAACATAAATGTCTGTGTTCATTCCTAGTGACTGAGGTGATGTTCACCGGATAAGCACTAAGGATTTAGGGGTAACTTTTTCAGACAGTTTGTATAACAGGAAGCAATTGTTTCTGTCTGGATCTTCTGAAACTTTAAAAAAAAAAATCACTTTAACAAAGGTTATGCAAGCAAATTCACAGGCTGAATTCCTGTGGTTGGTGTCCCAGGGGCTGTTTGGTAGCTCGTCAGAAGGCTGAGTTTGACTCCACCTTCCCATTCACTATAGCTGCTCCTGCCCTGCCAATGCTTACAGGTTGCCTACAGGGAGATGACAGCTGTAAATCTGAGACAGTGTCACGTTTTCTCGGCTTTTGTATTCTAGACCAAGAAAAAACAATCACAAAACCAGATTGTTTTGACTAGGAGAGAGATGCAGTACAGGCAGAAGTAATTTTTTTTTTTCATGAGGCAAAATGTTGTTACTGTGTAGAATTCTTTAAAGATTTGTTAAAATGGGGTCTTCCAAGTAGACAAGTTACTCATTTGCTGAACATGTTTACTGATGACCATAGTAAAACCTGTCCACATTACCAGGTTGGATTAATGAATAATTTTGCCTCCCCTCGCTCCTTTCCTTTAGTAGTGGAGCATCAGAGTCATTTAAGTGCTTAACAGAATTTTTAACTGTGTTACAGAAGAAGACGTAATTTGACGCATACAGGATTTTTCATAAGTGAAGAGAAAATTAATGTCTGGCTTGGTACAGACACAGTTTTGGTACAAGTGCCTTGTTAGTGTCTTGGAGACTTTTGGATTAACTTCTGTGAACTTATGATGCTTGAGATTCTATATTACAGTGAATGTTCCGCTTTGCATATTGTTCATCTTTGCGAAGTAAGTGATACCATAGCAATTCGGTGCAGTTTGTCTTTTATTCTTTACCATACAAAGGAGTTCTGGTTTGGTTGGTTTAAACAATAAACTGCTTTTTACTTGTTCTTTCATTATTCTATACTGTCACTGTGTGCTTTCCAGAATTATGGACTAGTTCAGCAATTTCTTTTAAGAACAGGTGTCATAGAACCTGACACATGATGATCTTTAGGGTTTTTCTATTACTGTGTAGTGGAACTCATGATCAACAGGTTCAAAACATGCTACAATACACGTGATTCCAGAGAATAAACCAGTGGTATGTTTGTCTCTACTGTAGCTTAAAATGTGCTATGCTGAAGGAATGTAGAAGTACAGCAAAACCACATATTGAGTATGTTGGCCAGCATGATGGCTCACTTCAGTAGTCAACTTCTTATTGTGTTCAACAGATTTTGAAGTCTGGTGCTTTATATAGGTATTGCTGATACTTTTTGTAATTGTAGCACTGAATCCAGTAAGGTTTAGGAATTCTCCTTGGAAGAGATGTCATGGGAACAGTGAAATGGGGAGATGGCAGAGACACAGACTGCTGCTCTCACCTGTGGTTACTCCTATGGGAATTCAGTTGCTAGCCCCAACAGTCTGCTGTAAGGATACTCTCATAGAAGGAAGTTTTCGTTATACTTCAACTGTAATGCTTAAGCTCCAAAATCTGAAAGAACTGTAGTGCTCTAGCACAGGTTTATTTGTGCTTTGAAAGTCCACGTTTGGGTTGAGGAGGGAGTAAAATACTAAAAATAATCACAAGTGAAGTAATTACTGTTTCTGCCAGGGACTTTTGCATCTGGCAAAGGTATTTTAGGAGCGGTAGTATTTTTGAAAACTTCATCTCTATGACTAGGAATACTGTTTAGAGTATTGTAAAATAATATCATAGAGTATTAGATTGTAAAATATAATAGAGTATTAGAGAACTTGAAGTTCATAAAGTGATTACTTTCATGCAACAACAAATACTATTCTTGTATTAATAAATCAAGGGTCGTGATTTAGTGCAGCCTGTTCAATGCTTGTTTTGAGGTTCTTAAAACTCTATTTACATTCTTGCTCTTAATTTGCAGGTCACAGATCAAAAAACCAAAGGTAAGTATCTTTGATCTTAAAGAGTATTTTTAATTGACTTGAGCCAAGACTCAGATCTTGATCAAAATTGTTGGAAAAGGAAGGGGAATTGAGTGAAGATGAAGTATTGAGGAGTATGTTCAGAAGAAATAAAAGTTGAGATGATTAAAATGGAGAACTAAAACCAACCATTTGTCAGCATCAAAATACTTGAAGAGGGAATGAGGATTGTTGATAAAATAGATTAGCTGAAATACTTAGTTTCCAGTTTTGCAAATGTTTCTGGACAAGTAACCAAAACCTGAAACCACCTATATAAATGGAATGGAAGTCAGGGAAAGTACTGCTTATGGTGAGATACCAAAATGAGTGAAAAGGACTTCTCTTTGGAAGTTTAAAAGAAGTTCAAGATAAGGCAGGACTGATGAGTGAACGTCTTGAAAGTTAAGCGTATTTGGCTGATGTAAAAATAGATTTAATCTTGATTTGTGTGTCAGTTTTATAAAAATTGTGTGGGGAAATTGTCATTGTTGACAGAAGAGAACTGAGATAGTAACCTGATTTTACAGCTAACTATGTTTTTTTGTGTTTGGGGCAACAAAGCCAATATAGAGAAAGCAGAAAACACTTATCGAAATAAAATGTGGGGAATAATGCATTCATGTTGCCAAAGAGAGACTCACTTGTTTTGGTCTCACATTGGTAATAGGAAGAGTTTTACTAATTATTTCACTATGCTGGGGAGGGGTTTCTGGACATCCCTTTCTTGTATTAATCTTCAGCAAAGGCTACGGTAGATATATTGAGTTTTCCTTGCCTTTGGAGTCTGATGTCTTGGCAATTATACCTTCTGGGTGCCTGGCTAGGAGCTCCTTTTGCTTTGTTTCAAAAAAGTACACGGAGAATGTGAGTAAGAGGTCACAAGTCAACAGTCTCTCAAGCAAGTTTTCTGATGGTGTTAGTTCCTCAAGTTTTTGTTTGTGATTTTCCTCTTCTCTAATGCATAATAGCCCTCAGAAGCACCTTGTCCTTGCTTATAGGGGCACCTGGTGACCAACTGGGGAACTTTAGGCAAGCCCAGTAAAAACCCTGTATGTAGGACTGCCTTTTGGTTGAGAGTCAAATATTACTGCCTAGTTTAAGAACAGTACAGAGCACTCGGATTCGTTAACTCTGAATCCAGCAGGAGGGTTGTTGGGTTTTGGTTGGTGTGTCTTCCCGCTCTGCCCTGCCCTTTGTTTGGTTTGGTAGTGGACATGTGGCCTAGTAAGCAGGTGAAAATGTGGGATCTGATCTGAGATCTCCCGTAAGGGTGATACATTGAAGATCAGGGAACAGAGCTGGGGATGTGTGTGTAACCAGTTGTATTTGGCTGCTCATGTTTTAAAATGACTCATTGCCTGGGGTGACAACTTTGCCAGCTTTACATTTCTAAGACATTTGGGGCTTAGAGCGGAACACTTGCTGAGGGCAGAGTTTCATCCTGGGGTACAGAGTTGCACATGGAAGCAAGAGGTTTGCCACTACTGCTTATTGCTGCTTCTTTAATTAAATTGTTCTGTGGTAAGGTTGAAGTTGCACAGTATTTCAGAGAAGAGTGAAATTATTAAAGGAAAGCGTTGCAGTGAGTTCTTGCAGCTAACGCAGGTTTAAGTGGAAAAATTTCTGATTTTCGTTCTTGCTGTTTTTCAGTGCCCGAAGTGACGAAACCAAGTTTAAGCCAACCAGTGGCTGCCAGCCCAATTGGCAACTCTCCATCGCCACCAGTCAATGGTGGCAACAATGCCAAAAGGGTGGCAGTGCCGAACGGACAACCGCCAAGCGCCGCCCGCTACATGCCTCGGGAGGTGCCGCCGCGATTCCGTTGCCAGCAGGACCACAAAGTGTTACTGAAACGTGGGCAGCCCCCTCCGCCATCCTGTATGCTCCTTGGGGGTGGAGCAGGGCCTCCTCCCCCAACAGCACCAGGAGCAAACCCAAACAACGCACAACCAGTGACAGGAGCACTGCTGCAGAGCGACAGTGGGACTGCGTCAGGCAAGTAATAATAATAAATTAACATGTGTGTATGCATGGCAGAAAAGGGGTCACTAAAATTGTGCATAAGCATGTGATTATATAATAAAACTCCTCAGATTGTGTTTGGAGAGCTTAATTCTACTATTTTAGTGTGTAGACTTCTCTTCTGCTGTTAGGGGCAGTGGATGCAATTTTTACTGGTAGTTGGAACATGAAAGAGGGTTAATTTTTTTTAAAAATACATTTTGGGTGGTTTGAATCGGATGCCGTAATGCTCTTAAGACCGCAGCAAGATAAACACAGTGCACGGATAAACAGCATTTTATGGTTGTCATTGAGGACTTCTTAATAGCACTTTAGGTTTCTTTGAAATGAATTTCATAGCTTGTCACTTTTTTTTATACAATCTGGTGATAATCAGGCCTACAAATGGCAGATGTCTGTCATTTCTCATCTGGATGAAATAGAAAGATGATACTTTTGCTCCTGACTTTTTTTAGTAGTAATCTTGTTTTTCTCCTTGGATAAGCCTTTTTATAGAAGTGGTGACTGTCCTGGTTTTGCTTTTCTTTTCACTCTGAATTCCAGAAGATAAATTGATTTTTAAGATTAATTGTTTTATAAGCATGGGAAAAATATGATTGCTCCTGGAATTTTTAGACCCTTGGGGAATTGCAGTATTTCATTCTTAAGTTACGATAGTAGAACAAACAAAATTCCATTCGAGACATCTGCATTCTAAAGAAAAGCTTAGGTGATTTGAGAAGTCATGGACAACTTCAGTTCTAACAATAAGGATGTTTTAAAAAGAAATAATAAATTCTTGAAAAGACTAAAGAAAATAATGATACTACTATGTCTGAGCTTGCCTTTGAAAACCATGCCAGATCAATGGGACAGGTTTTTTTACCGCCAGTCTTGAGAGAGCATAAACTTTTTATAGTTCTGTATGGCTCAGAAGAAAAACAGAGGTGACTTGGAACTCCAGAATCAAGTAAGCTGGATGGCTGTCTTTATTAAAAAGGACTCTAGGAAAATGAATAATTCTCTTTGTTTTGTGGTTTCAGTACTTCAGTTCCTTTGTAGCAAATCCCTGTTTGACAGATTATTTATCTTGTTGTTTTTGATGTTCTGTATTTAATAAGAGAGGGAGTGAATTTCAAACTACGGTGGAAAAGTTTTAGCTAATCAGATTAAAAACAGATCTTTTAGAGATGGCTTATTTTGATAAAACACCTGGAAGATGGAGGGGAAAAAAAACACCCCAAAGTCTTTTGACTATATATAAAATCCTAGTGTTATATTGGCACTGGTATACCTTCACAGTGTTTGTAGTAGACTGACAAAGGAGACTTCATGGTAGTGAAGCATTCTAAAAGTTTCCAAAGTTTCTCACAGACAGCATTTTTTTGCTGTTGGATGTGTTATGTGAGGAGCCTTTTGAAGTATTTTAGAGGTTCCTTAAGTTCTGTGTAATTAATTTGACACCTAATACTTGTTTTTCTGAGACTGAAATTTGATTTTATGAGTTGTCATATTTTTACATTTAGTGTAATGGTGCATTATCAACTAAGATGTTACGTGGTTGTATTTTGTTGATTGTGGCAACTTTTTATGCCAATGTTTGGTTGCTTTGTACTGATGTAAGTCAGGAATGTTGCCAGGAAAGATATGGGTCCTTCAGACCTGCCTCACTCCATTCAAATTTCTGTACTATAAGACAGTTAACTGGGCTGGGGAACATCCAGGCTGGTTTTTACAGCTAATTTCAGTCTGGATGATTTAGCAGTTCAGCTCACTGAATATCAGTGCGAACATATGGGTTAGCATGTGAGAGTAGGTGTGGTAGCATGTGAAAGTAGGTGTGCCAGAAGAGAGGGAATGAGCAGCTGCACAAGAGAAAAGCTGGGGCTGTCACTTGGGTGCTCCTTGAAAGTGCTTATGGAAGTATGGTGTTGCTGTCTGTCTTGGACATCATTAATCCTGTCTGAGATCCTGACTGTTTACAAATTGTATTTCAGTTTGGGCCCGGTTCTGTCAGGCACTTATGCACTGATTAATCCCATGTGAAAACAGAAGCATGGTTCCTAGAAGGGAAAATAATGCAGCTCACCTACTCCTTCACATTCTTATATTGGCCAGATAGCTACAGGTGGTGTTGGTGAGACTTTAATACAAGAAGTCAATACATAATCCTTCTTTATGTGGATTTTTTTTTTTTTACCAGAATTTAAATGCTTCTGTAAGATGGCAAAGCCCTAGTTCCCTGAAAGATGACACCAAATTCGCTATGGTCTTGTAGCAGTACAGGGGGTTGGGGGTGGAGGGTGGTGTATATAGTTCTTCCAATGCCAATTCAGGATGTGCAAGTCAATTTTGGAAAACAAAGCTTAAATTTTGTTGGTGAAAGTCTTTCAATAGTTCAGTACACAATCATCTCTCACAGCAAAACTGCGTCTTCATTTCAGGACTCCATTTCAATACTTTCACTTCAGCTCCATACTTTCATCGTTAAGAGTAGTCATTTGCTAGTAACTTTCTTCATTAGTCAACTCAGAAACTTGTTAATCTTCAGCATGTTTGTTATTAAGGAAGACTTAGGAAGTTTAAGTAACAAGAGCCCTTACCCCATTATCTTAAGACAAAACTATGAATTGCCAAAATTTTGTTGCCACTGTCAAATATAGCAAGGGAGGCTGGTTTTACAAAACAGTCCACTAAATTCTGTCCTAGTACACTGTTGGGAAGTACCCTAATCTTAATACTTTTAGGATGTCTTCACAGAAATGAAATGTGAAATGCTTTGTTAAAATCACCTCTGTGAAGATCTTGCTAAGTGCCTAGCTGCCTGTGCATCGTTCATTTGCTGAATCATTGCGAAGTTCAAAAGACGGCAACCTTGCAGTCTTCTGAACTTGTCTTTGTCTGTCTTCCTTAAGCTATTCCTGTGATCAGTCTAATCAGAAAGTTTTTAAAATGGAGGGGGAGGGTTACTTAGTGTATTAAAAAGATATAAATACTGGTAGAGTGTCACACTTGCCTGCTATTGTTAATTTTGCACTTGAGCTTAAGGCAACAGAAGGAACAGAATGTGCATGGGAACTGCTTGGTCTTTTGGATCCTGGTGCCTAGGGCTTTAACGGATGAAGAAACTTTTGTTCATCAGTATTCAAAGCTTACGAGAGAGTTCTAACCTTGCTGTGAAGTCTGGATCTTTACTGGTGGCCCTCAATGAAGGGGGATCTGGAAGGCATTCAGTGGGTGTTCATTGGTTAAGCTAATAAACTGAAAGCCTGAGACAGGCATTGAAAGCTGATCTGTTTATCTTCTGTTAGAAGTATTAGCAACCAGAAGTTGTGGTCTTCACTTTTGGATATGTAAGGGGGGGGGGGGAGGAAGATGAACAACACTTTTTTTAAGGTCATTATGCCTTATTTTCATGGAAACTGTCATATGAGCCACTATTGGTAGTAACTATATATTCAGGTATGAATACTGATGCAGATCTTACTATGGAGTTTATGATCTGCAAAAAAGTTAAACTGGTTGGGTGGGATGACTGAATAAGACTAATATATTAGGGTTCAGTACATGGGTCTGTAGTCTTAATCACTGGGAATCACTGGTGAGGGCAATTTAGGGTCTCTTGGTATTAAAAATACATAGAAAAATGAGTGGAACCCTATATAGAGAGCAACATTGAAGTACTAATGGACTTAAATTATTTAGAGGATCAGAAGTAATTATGTGGATGGCAAGGGAATCTTGGCTGACATGTTAAACTGATGATGATAATGTCTGCATATGTGCAAGCATCATGCTACAAGCACTGACATAGGCTTCATCCATTGTGGCACTGTGTTAATTTGTCTGCTTTAAAACTATATACAAAGATCTTGTCCGTGTGAAGTCATACCACATAGGACATAATAATAGTTCACCACAGATGAAAGAAAGGGGCCCTGTTCATTGTCACCAATCCTGCTAATTTCCTTACAGTGATTCCAAAGCTCATTGAACTTGCAGGTTACCCTGTACAATGTGCTAAGCCAGCAAAAAACTAACCCGTCAAAAAGTGAACAGTTTTGTGTTTAGTGAATACAGCTGACTTAGTTAATGGGCTTAACTGCCGTCAGAACTGTCACAAATGAGAGGTGAAACTTGGGGAATTTGAAGTAGGTGGAGCTGATGAGAGAGAAGGAAAAGTGGGATCGCTTACTAGCCTCCACGCAGTGGCAGAGATGAGCGTGGCTTCTCACAAAGCCGCAAACTGGTTTCTAGGGTAAACGTAGCAGTGACACAAATGTAGGGTAATTACATACTGAATACGGCGTGCACGTTACTACATAGGAATTGTAATTTGTGTAGCTTTGGACTCCTGCGATTTATGGTAACTTTTGGAAATAATTTTGGTTTTTGAAGGGTTGAAAGAAATTCCTCGTAGAAAAATCGACGTGAAGAAGATATTTGAAGCTGAAGGATAGACTTCTTCAGCTTTATGTATTCGTTAGATGCTTTTTGTCTTCAATCTTTTATCTTTTGATCTGTAATAAATTGTAGCTGCCCTTAGTTGAGTAGCAACCAAACAGCTGACTGCATGTACACATGCATATGAATGTGTGCACGTACACATTCTTGTTCTCTATATAACATGATTTTACATGTGTATTTGAAAAGTCTACAATCAGTATCGGTAATGTTCATTAACTAGCTTATAATTACTATGGTGAATTTAGAGCTGGACTGTTATCATAGTAGTGGGTCAATGGTGAATTCAAATGCCCACAAGATGCTTGTGGGGAGTTTGTTGAAAGAAGTTTATCTGTATTTTCAATGGTGTTTTCCAGCTTGATGTTCTACCAAAGCAACTTTGTGCACATTTGAGGGGAGGGTTCTTATTAATGAAAACAGTGATCAGTGGTGTCAAAAATATGATGTTCAGTGCTTGTAAATAATACTGATTATTAATGACCTTTTTTGGGCATGGGTTTTGTTTTGTGTTTTGTTTTTTTTTTTTTAGATTCAGCAATTGGAGGTGCTGCTGCTTCAAATTATGCAAATTCCACTTGGGGTCCTGGAGCCTCCTCCAACAGCGGCACCAACGCCAACCCAACTCACATCTGGGACAAGGTGATTGTAGACGGGTCTGACATGGAAGAGTGGCCTTGTATTGCCAGCAAAGATGCTGAGTCTTCTTCCGAAAACACCACCGATAACAACAGTGCCTCGAACCCTGGCTTGGAGAAAAACGCTCTGCCAGGAAGCACCACTAGTAACAAAGGAAAAGGAAGCCAGTGCCAGTCTGGAAGCGCTGGAAACGAATGTAATCTTGGGGCCTGGAAATCTGATCCCAAGGCTAAATCTGTTCAATCTTCCAACCCTGCTGCCGAGAGTAACAATGGACTAGGTAATTGGAGGAACTTGAGTGGACAAGATAGAATCGGTCCCGGTTCTGGCTTCAGCAACTTTAACCCAAATAGCAACCCATCTGCTTGGCCAGCACTGGTTCAAGAGGGCAATTCTAGGAAAGGGACTTTGGAATCTGATAATGGTAGCTCCAATGCACAGATTAGCACAGTAGGTCAGACCTCTAGGGAACAGCAGTCAAAGATGGAAAATGCGGGTGTTAACTTTGTCTCTGGCAGAGAACAGGCTCAAATTCATAACACTGATGGACCAAAAAATGGAAACACTAACTCCTTGAACTTAAGTTCACCAAACCCTATGGAGAATAAGGGAATGCCCTTTGAAATGGGCTTGGGGAACCCTTCCAGGAGCACTGACACCCCTTCACAAAGCACTGGAGAAAGAAAGACTGGGAGTGTTGGATCTTGGGGTACAGCTAGGGGGTCTTCTGGAACTGACACAGTCTCTGGACAGAGCAATTCTGGAAACCATGGGAACAATGGAAAGGATAGAGAGGACTCCTGGAAAGGAGCTTCTGTTCAAAAACCTAATGGGTCAAGAAGTGATTCTTGGGATAACAATAACCGGTCTACGGGTGGTGGGTCTTGGAACTTTGGCCCTCAGCATGGAAATGAAAGCAAATGGGGTGAAGGGAACAAATTAACATCTGGGGTCTCTCAGGGAGAATGGAAACAGCTGTCTGGGTCTGATGAACTGAAGATTGGAGAATGGAGTGGTCCAAACCAACCAAATTCTAGCACTGGAGCATGGGACAATCAAAAAGGCCACCCTCTTCCTGAAAACCAAGGTAATTCCCAGGCTCCCTGTTGGGGAAGATCTTCCAGCTCTGCGGGAAGTGAGGTTGGAGGTCAAAGCACTGGAAGCAACCACAAAGCAGGAAGTAGTGACAGTCACAATTCTGGACGCCGATCATACAGGCCTACTCATCCTGATTGCCAGGCAGTCTTGCAGACTTTGCTGAGCAGGACTGATTTGGACCCCCGAGTGCTTTCGAACACCGGCTGGGGCCAAACTCAAATTAAGCAAGATACCGTGTGGGATATTGAAGAGATGCCACGGCCCGAGGGGAAGTCTGATAAAGGAACTGAGGGGTGGGAGAGCTCTGCCACACAGACAAAGAACTCAGGGGGCTGGGGCGATGTACCCAGCCAAAGCAATCAAATCAAGTCTGGATGGGGTGAGCTCTCAACCCCAACGGAGTGGAAGGATCCCAAAAATACTGGAGGATGGAATGACTATAAGAACCCCAATTCTTCTAATTGGGGAGGAGGAAGACAAGAAGAAAAATCATCTTCCTCTTGGAATGACAGCTCTAGTAAGGATCAGGGGTGGGGTGGACGGCAGCCTAATCAAGGATGGTCTTCTGGAAAGAACGGTTGGGGAGAGGAAGTTGACCAAACGAAAAATAGCAACTGGGAAAGTGCAGGAAACAAGCCAGTGTCTGGTTGGGGTGAAGGTGGGCAAAATGAGATTGGAACTTGGGGTAACGGTGCAAATACAAACGCTGCTTCAAAGGGTGGATGGGATGATTGTAAAAGAACTTCAACATGGAATGAGACGGGTCGACAACCCAACTCCTGGAACAAGCAGCAGCAGCAGCACCAGCAGCAACAGCAGGAGGCTTCTGGTTCCTGGGGTCCACCGCCCCAAACTCCAAGTAATGGGCGACCTTCAAACCCAAACTGGAACAGCGGACCACAGCCAGCTGCCCCCAAAGAGGAGGAGCCTAGTGGGTGGGAAGAACCTTCTCCACAGTCAATCAGTCGAAAAATGGATATTGATGATGGCACTTCAGCGTGGGGAGATCCTAGCAGTTATAACTACAAGAATGTGAACCTGTGGGACAAGAACTCACAAGGAGGACAGGCCCCCCGGGAGCAGAGCCTGCCTACTCCAATGACTAGCAAATCACAAGCATCAGGTACTAGTCTCATTCCTTTCTTCAGCAAGCTCCTGTATATGAATGTAACCTTAATGCATAAGAGATAACTTGTGTAGCCTCCAATTCCTGCTAGCTTTATTCCATAAAGAAAACCAATTTATTATTTGAGTATTTGGTTCTGTATTTAAAGTGTCTTTAAAATGTGAATCAATCAGTCCTCTGCTTCTTGTGCCTCAGTAACAGTGATCTTAATACTGGTCAGTTTGTCAGTAGGAGAACATGTTTGTTAGCTGACAAATCTGAATATTTAATCTGAGTTCTGAAAAACAGATTTATAGAATCACAGAATCATTTAGACTGGGAAAAAACCTTTAAGGTCATTGAGTCAAACTGTAAATCTAACACTGCCAAATCCACCACTAAACCATGCCACTAAGTCCCACATCTTTTAAATACCTCCAGGGACGGTGACTCAACCACTTCCCTGGGCAGCCTGTTCCAATGCTTGACAACCCTCTTGGGGTGAAGAAGTTTTTCTTAATATCCATTCTAAACCTCCCCTGCTGCAACTTGAGGCTATTTCCTCTTAGCCTATCGCTTGTTACTTGGGAAAAGAGACTGACACCCACCTCACTACAACCTCCTTTTGGGTCGTTGTAGATACCCTCAGCCTCCTTTTCTCCAGGATAAGTCACTTTTTTTTTTTAAATAATTAATTGTTAGAGAAACAGGGAGAATTTCTTTTATATTTAGTCAAAAACTTTTTGCTCTGAAACACTCCAGTAACACTTGAAATGGAGCGAGTCTGTGATTTAGTTTTTTAGCTCAGTTTGCCTCTGCTGTATGATAAAAGAATACTTTAGCAAAATATTTTCTTCTTTGAAACAAGGACAAGAAAAAGTTACATAGCCTAGAAATACATTAAGTTGTTACTGTTGTGTAATCTTTTCTTTGACTTAAACATGCTTTAAAGAATACTATTTCATTTTAATATGTACTTCAGATATGTCCTTATTCTTTCTTCAGTATATGAAAACACTGAGTTAGTCTGGTGCTTTTAGTTAGTCACAAAAGTTCACCAGATAGGGCGACATTAGGTGTTGAGTTTGTGTTTAACCTGGGAGAAGAATATTACTCATCATAGTGTTCTCTTCCCTTTCATTCCTGGAGGTCAGTGCCCACTCTTAAGCATGTTGTGAACAGTCGTCAGTTCTGTTGCACCTATGCTACTGACAATCTAAAGTTCTCAATGGAGAGAATGAAGCAGTAGATTAATGACATGGTGCTGCACTGCAGTGAATAGTTTGTTGTCTAAAATGGTCTGTAATGAAAACTCTTTCTCCTTTGTGCAGTCTGGAGCAAAAGCACTCCACCTGCTCCAGATAATGGTACGTCTGCCTGGGGTGAGCCAAATGAAACCAGTCCCGGGTGGGGTGAAGTAGATGATACAGGAGCATCGACAACAGGCTGGGGGAATGCACCTTCCAACGCCCCGAATGCCATGAAATCTAGTGAGTATAGGCCAGATACCAGTTTCTTTGCAGTGGTCTTGGAGATTTTTAGTGTTTGGCGTTTTGATAGAGGACACCCATGGAGGAATTATCTGAGGCCTAGAAGCAATGTTGAATGTCATATAAGATTTTGATTAATGAGTGATTAAGCGCTTACAAATGACTGTAACTTTGTCTTTTAAGTTAATGAAAAAATTTCCTAAGTGATTAAATGGGCAGCTCTGATTTGCGGAAGCATTGAAACATTAGAGCATCTGAGTGAGGAAATAAGTCTTTTTCTCAAAATGTCTTTTCTTCTCTGGCTGCCCACTTGTTACATGATAAATCACTTTCCCTGACCGTATCAGAAAAAGGAATGCACAGTTACAGACAAATTTCACTGTGGAGGCCATTATGTGGTAATCTATGCTTTGGTAATGCAACTTGCCTTTGACTGAGTTGGTTTTTTTTTTTTTGGTTGTATGAGTGTGGAAAATTGTAGCTCTTTAAGAACTGAACTTTCTTTTGTGGTTGAACCTAAATGGATGACTATTTTCTGGATATTGCCAGCCTACAGTTGTGTTCTTCATGAATGAGGAGATGTTGAAATATTTTGAAAGTTTACTTAGAAGTTAAAGTTTTGCTGTATTAAGAATTTTATTTTTGTGGTAATTATTCCTGCTCACGTAAGCTGTTTGCAGAATTTTTATTTCAGTCTTTTTAAGCAAGAGACAACAAACAAAAGCAATCACCTGCTGATACAACATAGCAAATGTTACAGCCAAAGCCAGTAACGTTTGGGTACGAAGCTTCCAGTAGGCATTACTGATAATGCATGACTGCTACTGCGCTTGACTGATGATACCCACTGTAAAACTGTTTCAAGTTGCTTTTGCAGTGTGTAATTGTTTGGAAGGAAATTCTCTGTACAGATTGTATGTTATTGGGTCATTTTCCCTTCCTCCCACTCCAATTAAAAAGTTTAGCCATTTATGAAGCAAAACTGAGGAAAAAAGCATTGCTTCCTTAGTGTTAACATTATACTAGCCTTTTGTGGATGATTGTAGTGCTTCCTGTGCCTGCCACACAAATGTGGCACTTTTCAGGATGCTAGACTTTTTTTTAGATGGATCTCCTCTTTCATCTGTAAAAAGCCACCTAAATATGACCAAAATAAGAGCCTCTGAAATGGTAATGATCCATTGCACATTCTGTGGATTTGTCAATACTTAACGATAGTCTCGAAAGACTGTGCATGGTCACCTGCTTGTCTTAACCGGCTTGCATCTGTGACATAACCAAAGAGCTGCAGCATACGTGTACTATTCTGTACATAAGCTATCCCCAGCTCTAGAGGAGCAAAATACAGGGAGTTTCCCAGTGATGGCTGTTTCAGGTTGGGCTGTAGTAGATTAAGAGCCGAGATCTTAATTTTCCTCTGTTCTGTGACTGCTCTCTCAACTCCTTTCTGATTGGCACCCAGAAGGAATGAAGAAGAAAGCTGTATTATTCAGTGGAGTAAGGGGAGATATTTAATGTCTTGGATAAGTTGGAAGAAGAAATTGGGACAAAGAGCATGCAAAGGCATAATTTATGGTTGAAGGTAAGGACAGGAAACGGAGACTAGCAATGGTTGGAAAAGAAAACAAGAGTTTACAGCCAAAGAAGGAAAGCAGAGATCTTTACCCGCCTGTTTAAAAAAAATGGATTTACCTAATTTTACCAGCATTGCATAGGAATTCTCTGGCTCTGGCAGAAGTAGGAACAAATTCAGTTTTCTATAACATCACTATTTTGTCTTTAGCTTCAAAGTTTCATTTGCTTTCTGTAGCTGTTTATGCCTCCTTGCTCCACACATGCAGAAAATGAAGTAGGAATCGTACAAACAAGTCATCTTTACACGGTTGTCCAAATTCATGTTCAAGAATTTCAGACCTGAGAACTGTCAGTGCAGAAAAATAATCTGTGGTCATGTAGTTAAAACCAGGATGATAGTACTATATTTAAACACTGTGGCCGGAAATAAAGTAAAGCTGCAGGGACTACCCCATATATGACATTTCCAGATTAAGTTCTTGACTCTGCAGTCATAATCCTTAAATGTAGCCTTTTCTGTGTAAGTAGCATGATTAAAGGGTCAAGAGGTAGATTTTTGCGCTTGGAACAGTATGTTTCCGGAACAGCCCTCAATTTTGGTACACAAATGAATATACTTTAAAAAGTTATGTTTCCTGTGAAGCATCTGAGTTATTTATGACGGATTTTAAGGTAGCTCTTAAACTGCCATGAAATACTGCTGTACTTATTTTCGGTAGAGTTCCCCTTGGTCAACTGATTACAATTCCTGACCTCTTTTATATTGAGATTTTCTGCTATGTGTGTTAATATCCTTATCCCTCATTTCCACACTCAAACCCCAAATTGAAGAATTAGTTATGAAAAAGGTGATGATGATGGAAATATTTTTTTAAAACAGAGAGATGCTTAGGGAATAGATATGCCGAATTCAGAGTTACAGCAGGAGGGAGAACAGTTGGACAGTGGACGGGATGAGGATTTTGGCTCTTGTTGACTTGTCAGTAAAGGTTAGAATTCTGAGTTGCCTGACAGCTGGTGCTAGAGAGTAACAGCAAGAAAAGAAGCCAACAGGGAAAAGTCCTTAGTCTGAACTGATACGATGAAATGGTTGTAGCTTTCTGGCAATGGCAACTCTACTTAAACAGTACTGCTAATGAGTCCTTTTAGTGACATTAAGAACAGAAATTCAAGCAGAGGGTTGTTTTTCACATTAAACTACTTTTGGTGTTAGGTATGCTAGAGCACAATGTCACATCCTCTCCTCCAGATTCTACTTACTATTCCTTATTCCCTAAAGTTCTTTGTTTTCTGTAATTTTGTGAGGGAGTTTAGTGCAAGGGAGATGTTAAGGTTTTGAAGGAAGAGAGGAAATAATTGATAAACCACCTGACCCAGAGTCCTCAGCACCCTTGCTTTTTAAGTGCCCTTGAAGTCTTTCATTTACACTAGAAAATAATAGGTTGCCTTTTAAAGAAATTCAAATGAACCTGTATTTGTATAAAACAAGAGGTCCCTATGGTTATTATATCTTTTAAGGGTTTGACGTTGCTTTAAAGTAGTTGCAAAACATGACATGCTAACATGCCACTCAGTCTCTTGGGTTTTGGGATTCACATGCAAGTTTTTACAGCTGTTAGAGTGAAGACACTTTTTTTCCCACTCCTTTGGGGTTCTGATGATCTCAGCTAATCTTGCACTGTCAAATCACCAGCTGCATGGTATTGTAGGCTGCTTTTGAGCTTTTTTTTTTTCATTTTCTAAAGGTTCTAAATCTATGCAAGATGGCTGGGGAGAGAGTGATGGGCCAGTGACAGGAACACGTCATTCCAGCTGGGAAGAGGAGGAGGAGGGAGGAGTCTGGAACACAGCAGGCTCTCAGGGAAGCAGTTCCTCCCACAACTCAACAAGCTGGGGGCAAGGAGGAAAGAAAACACAAATGAAGGTAAAATGCTTGAATGATTCATAACTACTGTGTTGTCTGAAAGCAGTATGACTGATATGTTAGAGCATTATAATAGTTTTTCCTCTAAAAAGGTATTACAGAATTCAGCTAGAAAGATGCCTGTTACAACAGTGTAAAAAATGCAGTGTTTCTGGATTTGTTTTAATCTATTACACCTGTTGTGACTAATAAATCTGCCAGTAGGTGTCAAATTCTTTTGGGTTGTAAGCTGCATTACTAAATGAAACTGAGCAATAAGTATCCCAAGGCTATTGCTCTTCTGTTGTTGATACACCTTTCTGTGTTAGCCTCCTGCTGTTCTCCTTGCATAGTCTGCTGAAGTTGAGATTCTACAGTCCCTTTGGCATGTGCACTTCTTTTTTCTACTGACTATTGGATTTAGGTCTGACCTGACTTGTGTTTCTTGTTACTGACCTTTGGCCTCAAACAGGAGCAGGAGCTTGGCTATAGTCCTGGGTACATTGCTTTCTAAGGCTTGTTTGCGTTAAAGTTATCTAGTACAGTAACACTTGGTACTGTATTAATATTAGGACTACGCTTTGTCTACTCCTGATCGAATCGGTAGGGCAAACTCAAAAGGCAAGTAGAGAGCAGCTTCCTATGATGTGGAAATACTGCTGTGACATGGTGTGGAGTTTTACAATTCCTACTTTGTAAAAATGATTCTCATTAATTGTTTTCTCACTTAAAGCTTTTTTATTTTAACCACCAAAGTAACTGTCCAAAAAAATTTCTTTTCTGTTGAACTGTTAAGTTTTGGGTTTGATCACTTGTAAATTACAGTAAGGCCAAATTGAGAGCCAGGTCAGCACAGTGCCTGTGTAAGAACCCATACTAAAGCGAAGAAAGCCAAGGAAAGCCAAGGAAGAAATCTACCTCTGTATGTGGTGGATTAAAGAGTGTATTAAACTGTAACAATGAACAATTTTGTGAGAGAGAAAAGAAGAAAACAGTATTTGGTAAATGTTTCCAACCATGCAAAAACTTGTTGTTCAGGAGATTATTTTCTCTGATACTAGGATTTTCATTTGCTTATGCATCTCAGGGATAAAACCGAATTTAAGAACTCAAGAAGTTGCTTTAAAATGTTTTTGTCTTTTTTTTCCTCTTTAGTGTGCATTAAAAGGAGGAAATAGTGATTCGTGGATGAACCCTTTATCCAAACAGTTTTCAAATATGGGCTTGCTAGTAAGTAATTTTTTAAAAATATAAAATCCAACTTTGTAAAAAAGCAGTAAACTTTAAGTCAAAAGATGAGCTGTTTCGTGGTGTGTAACTGCTTATTTATGTGCATTTGCCCTGCTGCCATGTTGATTATACTACCTGTAATAGCTGAGTATTCAGCACTTCCTTGCTAGTCAGAATGGCTTCTCGGAAAAACACAAAATCTGCTTTGACTCTTCAAAGTTACTTCATAACAGCTGTTGGTGTGAGATTGCGATTTCCATGCAAGTAATAGGATTTGGGGTTTTTCTTTTTTTTTTTTTTTTTTAATTACTTCTATTTTTGTTACATGCTGTTTAGCGCACTCAAGGTAGAGGCCTCAGCTCCTGACTGTGGACATCTGTGATCCATCCAAGGCTATTCATTCTGAATCTCAGACACCTATCAGAAAAGGAGATTTACAGCCTGTGTCTGTCTTGGCTGTTTATATTTTAAACACTGTGGTGTAGTGGGGCCTTTATAGAAAAAAAAGGGCTCATTATTAATCAGTACTTAAAGATTGATTGGTAAAGTGAATAAATAAATGGCACATCATGGGGAGAAAACACAGATCTGCAGGGAAGTACCTTAAAAATAGTTACAATAAAAAATTTTTTTAAGAACTTCCAATACGCTAATTTGTAAAACATTTTACAAAATATCGTGCCAAGTGTCATCCTGTGAAGTAGGAATAGTATGTAATGCAGGCTAGTGAAAGATGATAACGCAGAGGTTCTGTGAGAAGCCCAGGGCTGCACAAACTGTCGCTGACATGACTAGGATTAGTTTGTAATGTCTGCTGGCTCCCAAGCCTAAATTCGGTCTGCTAGACCGTAGATGCTTCTGAAAGCTATGGGAACACCCTGTCCCAGACTGCCAGCTAAAGAATAACTTGGCAGCACATTTCAAGATTTGATGACTTGACAAGTCATGAGGATTGAGCTATCATTTTGGCCACTATTTTCAGTGTTTCATCTCTTGACCACTGGAACATGAGGACAGAGGTTCATTTCACAGAGCAGCTGTCTGTCCATCTTTGTGTCACATGTGTTCTTTTCATGTGTCTAGTTTCATACAGGTAAACCTGCCACAAAGCATTAGGGGGTCGAGGTGAGGTGTGTCCAGGGTGATATCAGGAATCCTTATGTTTGATTTTTAGTTTAAAAGAAAACTTTCATTGACACAATGTCCTTCCTTCATTCTGCCTTTAACCATCAAGGGCTGCTTTCTGAAACATGCCTCAGCATTTCGTAGAAGTCAGAACTGAAGTTGTTTTGTTTTGTTTTTCAGAGTCAAACTGAGGATATTCCAGGCGGTAAGATGGACTTGTCTGTAGGTGCGTATAATTTAATTTAAATGTATTTGAAAAATGAGATCATGTGTTAGTATTTTTACGTGGATGACATGCTGTGCTTTGGAAAGGTTTGATCCTTAATTTTAGCACTCCTCCTAATAGAATGATGGATTTACAGCATCTGATGTCTTGACTTTAGGCTTTGAATAGTTACGCAGCTGATGCTGGTATCATAGAATCACAGAATGGTAGGGGTTGGAGGGGACCTCTGGAGATCACCTAGTCCAGCCCTCCCGCTAAAGCAGGTTCACCCAGAGCAGGTTGCCCAGGACTGCGTCCAGCTGGGTTTTGAATATCTCCAGAGAGAGGAGACTCCACAGCCTCCCCAGGCAGCCTGTTCCAGTGCTCTGCCACCTTCAGGGTAAAGAAGTTTTTCCTCATGTTCAGGCGGAACTTCCTGTGCTCCAGTTTGTGCCCGTTGCCCCTTGTCCAGTCACTGGGCACCACTGAAAAGAGCCTGGCCCCGTCCTCTTGACACCCACCCTTTAGATATTGACAAGGTCCCCACTCAGTCGTCTTTTCTCCAGGCTAAAGAGCCCCAGGTCTCTCAGCCTTTCCTCATCAGGGAGGTGCTCCAGCCCCCGATCATCTTCATAGCCCTCTGTTGGACTCTCTCCAGTAGCTCCCTGTCTCTCTTGAACTGGGGGGCCCAGAACTGGACACAGCACTCCAGATGTGACCTCACCAGGGCAGAGTGGAGGTGAAGGATAACCTCCCTCAATCTGCTGGCCACACTCTTCTTGATGCACCCCAGGATGCCATTGGCCTTCTTGGCCACAAGGGCACATTGCTGGCTCATGGTTAACTTGTCCACCAGAACTCCCAGGTCCTTCTCAGCAGAGCTGCTCTCCAGCAGGTTGACCCGCAGCCTGTACTGGTGCATGAGGTTATTCCTCCCCAGGTGCAGGATCCTACACTTACTGAACCTCATCAGGTTCCTCTCTGCTCAGCTCTTCAGCCTGTTCAGGTCTCACTGAATGGCAGCACAGCCCTCTGGTGTGTCAGCCACTCCTAGTTTTGTGTCATCAGTGAACTTGCCGAGGGTGCACTCTGTCCCTTCATCCAGGTCGTTAATGAATATGTTGAACCAGACTGGACCCAGTACTGACCCCTGGGGAACACTGCTAGTTACAGGCTTCCAACTAGACTCTGCGCTGCTCATCACAACCCTCTGAGCTCTGTCCTTCAGCCAGTTCTCAATCCACCTCACTGTCCACTCATCTATCCCACACTTCCTAAGCTTACCATCACTTACATGAGAAAGTGATGGGAGACAGTGTCAAAAGCCCTGCTGAAGTTGAGGTAGACAACATGCACTGCTCTCCCCTCATCCACCCAGCCAGTCATGCCATCATAGAAGGCTGTATCAGATTGGTCAAGCATGATTTCCCCTTGACGAATCTATGTTGACTACTCCTGATACCCTTCTTTTCCTCCAAGTGCTTAGAGATGACATCCAGAATGAGCTGTTCCATCACCTTTCAAAGGATGGATGTGAGGCTTAATGGCCTGTAGTTTCCTGGGTCCTCCTTCTTGCCCTTTTTGAAGACTGGAGTAACATTGGCTTTCCTCCAGGCCTCAGGCACCTCTCCTGTTCACCGTGACCTTCCAGAGATGATGAAGAGTGGCTTAGCAATAACATCTGCCAGCTCTTTCAGCACCTGTGCGTGCATCCCATCAGGGCCCATGGATTTGTGGGTGTCCAGTTTGCCTAAACGATCTCTAATCTGATCCTCCTTGACTAAGGGGAAGTTGTCTTTTCTCCAGACTTTCTCCTTTACCTCCGAGGTCTGGGATTCCTGAGGGTTGGCCTTAGCAGTAAAGATGGAAGCAAAGAAAGCATTCAGTAACTCTGCCTTGTCTGTATCCTCTGTCAGAAGGGCACCTGCCTTGTTCAGCAAGCAGGCCCACGTTTTCCCTGGTCTTCCTTTTGCAACTGATGTACTTGAAGAAGCCTTTCTTGTTGTCCTTGACATCCCTTGCCAGATTTAACTCCAAGTGGGCCTTAGCCTTCCTCGTTGCATCTCTGCATACTCTGACAGCATTCTTAGATTCCTCCCAAGTGGCCCGTCCCTTTTTCCACATTCTGTAATCTTTCTTCTTCCATTGGGAGTTTTTCCAGAAGCTCCTTGCTCATCCAAGCAGGCCTCCTGCCTCCTTTGCTTGATTTCTTACAGGGATGCACTGATCTTGAGCTTGGAGGAAGTGGTGCTTAAATATTAACCGGCTCTGTTGGACTTGCCTAACTTCTAGAGCCCTAAGCCAAATAGGTCTTTGAAGAGGCCAAAGTTAGCTTTCCTGAAGTCCAAGGCTGTAATCCCACTTACTGCTTCTTCCATGCAGTATCCTGAACTCCACCGCCTCATGGTCACTGCAGCCAAGGCTGCCCCAAACCTTCACATCCCCAACCAGTCCTCCTTTGTTAGCACAAGGTGCAGCAGTGTACCTCTCTTCTTTTGACTTCTCCACCATCTGTGTCAAAAAGTTACCATCAGTGCTCTGCAGGAACCTCCTGGATTGTGTGTGCCTAGCTGTGTTTCTTTTCCAGCAAATATCAGAGTGGTTGAATTTCCACATGAGAACCAGGGTGTGTGAATGTGAGGCTACTTCCAGCTGTCTGTAGAAGGCCTCATCGACTTCCTCTTCCAGATCCTGTGGCCTGTAGTAAACGCCCACAACAGTGCCACCCATATTAAGAATTACAGACCTCTGGTTTCTGACATTGCAACTGGGAGGAAATCTGAGGCCTCTGTGACATTCCTAAGTGTCTCTTAATTCTTGCCCGTAAGCTCTCGACTCTTTCTTCATCCCCCCCCATAGGCAGAGCTCAAAACATTCCAGGTGCTTTCTTGCATGAAGAGCAACTCCTCCATCTCTCCTTGCTGGCCTGTCTTTCCTTAAAAGTATGTAGCCATCCATGACAGCATTCAAGTCCGTGCAAGCTATCCCACCATGTCTCTGCGACTGCAATGAGATTATGGCTCTGCCACCACACACAGATCTCTGGTTCTTCCTGTTCGTTCCCTATGCTGTGTGCATATGCAAGATTGGGATGTATACCTGTACAGAACGGAGCTATAACTTGTGGGAGGGACATCATGTAAGACTGTTTTGATCCATATAGTTTGTGTTCATTGTTATGGTTTCAACAAAGTGAAGATCCCTTTTCATTTGGTGGAAGAGGAGGACTGTTTTAGCTCTTGGCGGTATGACATCCAATTACTGCAGCTCCCTGGAAGTGATATGAGGAAAAGAATATCTTCTGTCATTGATGTCTTCAATTGTTTGCCTCAGGCTGTTACAAGGTGCTGCTCAGTAGAACTACATTTTTCACTCTTGATAGCCCCACCACACAGCTTAAGTGGGGATGGGCTGTGTGAAAAACACTATCCTAAATGAGAGTTAGAGTTGACCACTTGGGGGTTAATCCCATTTAATCACCTTTGAATTTGTCATGACTTTCTTCTTTGGTAAACTAAGTAGTGAACTCTCACAGAAATACTTTTTTGATCTTGAAATCTGATTTAGCTTTGCATTCTGTTCTCCAAATTGTCTCTGAATATTCACTATCATTGTATTGCAATAGAAATACCACAGGTTTTTGAAGTCTTATGCCATTTGAGATGGTTTCTGTACAAGATTCCTAAGGTATGTATTAAAAAAGGGATGATCCAAATCTGCTGTTTCGTTTATCCAGTTATCCAGTCTTTGAAGGCTTAGTAAGGCTAAGAACTTGTACAGGATAGTCTTTGATATTTATAAAGGGGAAGAGGGTTTTGTTCCTGTTCTACAGACTACTTCTGTTCAGGTTTTGGTTCTTCAAAATCTGCAGAAGCAAGATCACCTCATATCCCTGACTACGAAGACAGATCTTCTAGTCCACTTAAAGGACATTGCCACTGTACAAACCCTGCACTAATTTTGGAGACAGATGTTCATCCTCTTTCTATAACTTTAGGAATGTCACAGAGGCCTCAGATTTCCTCCCAGTTACAATGTCAGAAACCAGAGGTCTGTAATTCTTATTCCAAAGAATGGTATGTCAAAGTAGTAGTGGTGTTCTCAGCTCTCATCTAGAACAGTGAATTTCCTATGTAGATGAGGTGGGCTCTGTGGGCTCCAGAGAAGTGTGTGTGTAGTGGTTCTGTGTCTGGAAGGGCTCCTTGTATCCATGCAAGTCAAGCTTGTTAAGAAGGTGTGGACATCATTGATTCTGTGTGACTAGCACTGAGACCCACAGGATAGCCGTTACACAGTAACTGTTTTACCTCTTTCACGTTCAAAAATGTCCCATTACCAAGCTGCTTATTTACAGCTACTTCTGCATAACAGCAATAGTTTCTACCTTAGCTGAGACATGGATGCACACAGGTACAAAGTGCTGCTAAAAGGACAGAAAGGACTTGGTAAGAAGGGGAGATCTGGTTGGAGGAGGTGACTGACTTGCAATCGATGCTTATTCTGCTGGTAGTTCTAAATTTCCTGTGGGAGACTGTCAGTTGAATTAAATTACTGATGATCCTGTGGTGGTATCCCTGAAGAACCACCTGCAAAAGTAGTTCTGTGTCAGGTCACAGCCTGTGGGGTCTCTAGATCAACTAAAATTGGTGTTTACAGGTCAAGTACAGTTCATTTCAAAGTATGTTCTGAAATTTGTTGCTGTAAGTTAGAATAGCATTGGGTCTGTGGTACAAGTTGGCTGTGTCCACTTCAAAGATAGAATCTATTTACTTCTGAGGTGTTAGCAGCCAAAGAAGTTACAGTGTTCAGGTCTATGACTTTGTGCTAAGCATTAAGTAATTTCACTTGCCAGCATCACATACATCTACAGTTCAGTGCATTGGATCCTGTCTTTGTAGCAACTTTTGGTTTGTTTCATCACCTGATTTTTATTTTTTTTTATTTTATCTAAACACCAAATACTGACAGTAGGGAAGGCCATACTAGCAAGAGCTGTTTGTTCAACTCTCAGATAAATACCACCTTCAGTTTTATGTTTTTGCAGATGTCAAGATAGTGACATCTGATGTGTTCCCCCTGTCCCAGGAAGTAATCCAGTAGTAGATACTGCTTTCTTCTAAAGTGTCTTCTGTCCTCGTGATACAATTGCCGTTTCTGTGCCATTCTGATTCTGCCATACCTCTTCTGTGCCTTGTTGACCAAATTATTCCAATATTATGCCTTGCAAGAAGTCCTCTGATGTTGACGCTCTTTGCACGAGTGCTGTCACCAACTTTAGTACTTCCTCATCTGCTACTGTTGTAGCATCACGTGTGATGCTGTAGTCGGGATTTTCACAAACAAAAAGCTTCTTTTGTTGGGAATATCCTTTAATCTTTGTTGGTACCAAAGGCAGAGCTGTGGTAGTTAAGACGTACTTGCATCTAATATCAACTCCAAATTTGGTATTATAATGCAATCTGAATAGCTGCAGTGTCTCTCAGCTTAGAATCCATTACATTCTAAAAATGTGTATCATTAAAGTGTGTATTTATATAGTACAACATAGTTTTGGGGAAGGTAACAGAGTTTTTGGATCTCACCACTTTGGCCTCATACAGCCTCTCTAGAGTTCAGATTCTGATTATATCCTGCTTCTCTAAACATTATCTAGACAGAGATAAGTTGTGGTCTTAGATGTTCAGTTCTTGTCTGCCTTCAGATGCTGCTGTTAAAGAACAGATCTAAGAATACACGAAGAGGATGGTAGTCTGGATTATGCTGATTATAACTCTCTTAGTTCTTTATCTCAAAATTAAACTTCTGGATCCTTTAGAACTTTCTGCTGTCAAGGACCTTAAGGCCATCAGACCTTTGGAAGAAAGATGGCTGACACTGAGAATATGATGTGAAATGGTGCAGAAAGGTTGCATAGGTAGTCTTTATATGCATATATGGTCTTTATATGTTGCGCTTCTCTAAGATTAGTGTTCCCATTAATGGTGGCATCCTTGATCCTAAGTGGAGGCACTTATAGTTTGTATTCTGTTTCAAAGACTGGGAATGTAGCAGATCTTCCTGAGGCTTTTCTGTTACTTTTCTGTTTAGCAGTTTTGCGCTTGTTACTTAACGCAGTTGCTTGTGGAAAACTATAAACTGTTTTGCTCAGCCTATATCTACTTCTAAACTTCAAAAGTTGGACTGACTTATGAGGTAGGCTTGTTTTTCCGCTGGTTTTCAGTCAGGATTATGATGTACCAGGTTTTCCTAACTAGATAACTCCTAGCATGATATTTTCCCAGTTTATGGATAAGTGCACATTGATCTGAGAGTTAAGTCTGTGCATGGAGACCATGCATATCAAAGAATTGATATGCATGGAACAGCTTGGCCCTGATAATCATATTCATAAAATAGAACTGGTTGTTGGTAAGTAATTCTTACTACGTTGGTCTTGGTCTCCTTGTTCAAAAAATGTGTTGCATTTATTGCAAGGTGCTGGAGTGACACTTTTATTTACTGACCAGGACAGAAAAGAGATGGATCAATAGCATGCCTGAGGCAGATCTAATTCCTTTTTTTTTTTTTAACCTTTCTATCAAATCCCTTCAATGGATAGCTTGTTTTACTTTGAAAATAGGATACAACTTTTTTCCGTTGAAATACATCCTAGTATGCAAGTCCTGAGGCATGGTGTTTGCTACAGTAAGTAGCTTGTCAGAACCACTTAATGTTTTATCTTTTCCTTCCCTCTGTTTGACCACCACCTTTGTCTTGTCTTTTTTTTTTTTTTTTTTTAGTGTATTAGTTGCAACCCCTGCAGATCACGGAATTCTCAAATCACCTGTAAAGACTGCGAAATTAATTTCCAATTTCTGTTGATTTAAATGCTATTCCTGCAGCTGTCTATTGTAAATAGGTTACAAAGCCATAACCTGATTTAGCATTCAGGTGCAACACCTCGAAAAAATGGTTGTGCTTGCTCAGTAGGCTTGGATGATGTAAATTTATGGCGAAGGTATAAAACCAGTATCTTTAAAATGTTTTTGGTTTTGTGGTCAAGCAGAAACATGTTTCAAATAGTTTTGTTTTTTTTTTTCCCCGTTGGGGTTACCCCACTAGAGGTATGTATTTTCAGCACATTGAGTCTCTTGTTTCCTAACATTTTAAGTAACTTTGCTCAACAGACGTTTCTGTCTCCTATCTCCCAGTACAGAATCACATTATGTAATTTTGTTTGTATATGATTAAATTTTTTTGCTCTCTTAAGCTGCGTGCATGTGGTGGTGATGATCTACTGAATAGGGGTTTTTTCCTCACTGGGATGTAAATGCCCTCTTCCAAGGGCATTGTTTCATTTTGTATTTTTCACAGTGTTTCTCACAGCTGTTAATAGTGGGGAAAATCCAAGAACTTATGGAGTGTCGTCTTTTATGAAGACGGTTGGACTTTCAACCTCTTCCACATTTCTGCCTGTAGAGGATTTGGGGCTTCGTATTTATTCATGCACAAGTTTTCTTGCCTACTGCAGAGGGTAAAATTCAAACTTTTCAGATTTTAACGGTGGTCTTGTACTGTGTAAGGTAAAGCTAGTCTTCAGCCACCTGTGTTATTTATAGCTGTTGTTGGTAAGTGCAAAAGACAGACTTACACAACAGGTTTCAAGGTTGTATTAGAATTTTCTGTGAATGGGATAAATGAATGCTATCACCTCTCTTAGCAAGGTTTTGTTTATATTGAAGTTTAAGCAGCTGCCTCAGCACTAAGTGGCATGCATATCTATACTTGAAGCCTTTAAAGGTGCTGTTTAATGCTCTACATGTTACTTAACAAGCTTTTTTACAAGGCATCATTCGGTAATGTTTGAGGAGTTGATTGGATCATCAGGATAACTGAAGAGACAAAAGGGTGTTTCTGTGGCTTAGTCATCTTGTATCAGCATTGACTCAGTTTCATTTCAGATAGTGATGCAACTCTGTCTCGATTTCAGTTTCTTTTCAAGCAACTAACGGACAGGGCTTCCTGTCTAGAATTAAAGCACACAAGCCTTTTGGGTAGTGCATTCCTGGTATTGTGAGGAGTGATTAAATGTAGGTATTGACAGTATTGAGATGTACATGACATTTTATGTGACTGCTTTTGCGGAGCCGGTTCTGGCTTTGACAGCACTGGAACAGGCTGCTCAGAGAGGTTGTGCAGTCACCTTCTCTGGAGACATTCAAAACCTGCCTGGACAGGTTCCTGTGTGATCTACTCTAGGGGTCCTGCTTTGGCAGGGGTGTTGGACTAGGTGATCTTTTGAGGTCCCTTCCAACCCCTAACATTCTGCGATTCTGTGCTATGTTAGATAGGGATGAGCTCATCCAGGTCAGTATGGCTTCAGTTACAAGTCAAGATATGTACGTAGGTGCCTTGTCAAGTGTTTTTGTGATAAATGATGTTGAAGGCATCTGAGAGCATGAAGCTGGATCAACTTTGAAAGCTGTGCGAGCAAGAAAATTCCATGTAATTAGTGGTGGATTTCGTAGGTTCTTGACAGTAACATACCTATGAATATTAGTAGTTTGTGATTGGGCATTAAGAAGAGATGCTCTCTTTGAGAAGCTTTTTTGAGGAACAGATAAGTGTTTTGAAGGTATTGGAGCAATTAGCTGTCTGCTCTGTTTGATAAAGACTTAGTGTTTTGTCAGTGGTAGGGTAGGATATCTGTCACCAACTTGCTTTGGAAGAGTCATAGATTTTAGTTAACTGTGGTGAAGGTTTTTTTTAAACTGTTCTTGGAAAGGCTACCTGTGCTACTAAACAAAATTATTTTAAACTAAAAATATAAGTAAAGCTCATTTCTATCATGCTGTCCATATTTTAAAACAAAGATGTTTTCCATCTACTTCGAAGTGACAATATACATCTGATACCTTACAGGTGCCAAATTTGACCCCCCAAAAAATTGTTTCTTGGCAGCGGT